GAACAACATGTTCCTATTTTGTAATTGAATAAATTATGGCTTTCAAAAATAGAGTTATTGTGAGCCGTGTATCAGACCTCTTAAGTCCTGAGTTGAGGGTATTTACTCAGTTGGATTTTGTTCCTCATTGCTTAGGGCGTCATGCCCAGGAAGTGCTGACCCATTTTTACGGGATTTGGAACATCAGGACCTTTTGTGAGAGAGGCGGCACTGTCGGTTTTCTGATCATAGTGGCACTTGGTGACTGCTCCTAGGTTTGGGTCCTGACTGAGTCACATCTGGGCAGCCCAAGTGGAGGATAACAGGCAGGACTGGAAAGTGGAAGGGAAATCAAAGGGTCAGGACGTAAAAGGTGGTGGCTGATTAGCGCACCGACACTGGCTTAACAGAAACATAGAGGGTTTAGTTTTTAAAAACATCGAAATTTCTCAGGTTAAAATTTGTGGGAAAAGTGACATCTAGGCTATGACGATATTTTTATAAACAAATAAGATATAAGGGCCAGAGTTAGCGTTGAGGCACTGCAAAGCCTCATTTCTGTTCTGATTGACCAATGTTGATACCTTCTCTCCTATTTATTGTCTAGGTGGATTTGAGCAAACATTTTGACTTTTCTGAACTTCAATTTCCTGACTTGTGTAATAGAGATACTGATCTTTGCTTTGCCACATGGTAGAAGAGGACATGTAATGCATACAACACATTGGGCACATAGTAAATAATCAACGGTGATTTTCTCTTCTAGATTATGTATAATTACATATTATACAACATATATAACATTGGGATACATATATATATATGTATATATATATATATATGTATCCTGCTTTGTGCATGTTGTGAGTTAGGTCTGCCTCTGAATACCCCTACTTCCCAATTTTAACTGTTGTTACAACACAGACTTTCAGTGTTAGATAATGTGACCTTTCCAGAGGATGTGCCAGCATGACAATGTCATGATTTGAGAGTGAGGTCTCTCTGAAGAGTGGCAAAACCATATCCTAGGACTGTCACCACAGATTTGTCAGGCAATGAGCACTGTCACTTACAGTATTCGAGAAAAAAATGAAGAAAAACAACCACTAGAATATAGCACTTGCAAATTACAGAGTTTAAGCAAAGCTATGTGGGTAACAGGGAAAAAATAAATGTTATTTAACCAAGGGAAAAACCCAACACTATTCGTTACCTAAGCCATGGAATGAAGAGACAGTTCCAGTGAGACTGAATGAATCGAAGAACAGTGGTCCAGTCTTATACAATTTTGGATACCGACTCTAGTCTGCAGCAATTTTCCAAGAAACTAGCCCCTTATTTTAAGGCAGTCTGCCAAAAGTCAAGTTTGCAGAATGCCCTATGCTTTTCTCTAGTGATATTTCAGGAAGCTATATAGTAACTTGTTACAATTGGCTCCAAGAAACCACGGTTGAGAATTGGTTATGTTGTTACTTTTTGTTTCCACTTCCAACTTAAGAGCAAGCAGAGAAAATCAGAATGCACCTTTTCCCCATTTCTCTACTTATTTTTGAGTGTGTGCCAATACTTCCATGACAATGGTTAACTCCTTTTCTATGCCAAGCTCTGAATAAATTGTCTTTGCTGGGTTTTTTTTTTTTTTCGTTTGAGTAGCCTGTGTTTATTTCCATAACAGGCAAAGATCTGCCAAGCCGCAAGACGGGAACCCAACCCTGAGTGCATTGGATGGCTTCAACTTTTCCTATTTCACAGGACTCAGTGCCTTGTCATGCTTATCTCATCCTACTGGGCTTTTTCTGACTCTACTATTTCTTTCCTTTCGCATTTCTCCAATCCTCCATTTAGCTTTACAGCCCGTTTGGATGATAGTACTAGTCCTGGAAATGGTAACTGCGCTTTCCTCACATCCTAATCTACCTCCTTAATCACTGCTGTGACATGCATCCCAATGAGGCATAGTTCTGTTGTCATTTATCCAACCAAGATCATTAAGTGGGAAGGCTTCAGGCAAGAGGAAAAACTTCCTATGCCTGCTGATGCACCCTTCCCAAACTTGCACAAGAACACGCAGACAAAAAGGAAAAGAAAAGCGATGACATTGCAAATAAGGTTGTTCGTTTTTGTTTTTCCATTTTTTAATAGGGACAGCACAATTTCATAAAAAAAATATTCAGAAACTTCTCAGTGTTTGTCATGAAACCTTAGGAAACACTAACCAATTGAAAAAGGTTTTGCGCTTCACAGGAACCAGGAAGAATTTTTCTATCAACTAGACTCTCTTCTGAAGCTCTATCACTAATGAATGGATGTTAATTTTAGAAGAAAGATGAAAGTTATGAACATATTTTCTACAGGAGATATTAACAAAAGACACACCCAGACATGCTAGAATCAGTAAATTTCATTACTGAATAATACTTGGGGAAATAAATTACACAAAGACATACAATATCAATTGACTAAATAGAAAAACATCCCAGGATATGTACTTCAGGATGTAAGAAGCTCACCGGAACTGCATCTGCTGTCACTTTGACAGCTCTCCGATGGAAAGGTGACTTGTCCGGTGAGTTTTCCAAGTCGAAGTGAAAGCTGCTCCCTCATGCTTCTCACACTTTTTTCCTTTTGTTTCCAATTTAGACCTCATATAAGAAAAAGTATTTCTCAAGCAACATTTTTTTTTCACTAAAATCACATAGAATATGCTCTCTCTTGGTGCACCAGTGAAAACTGGAATTTAAGTTCTTCTGCTTAGCATAGCTGAAATATTTATGCAACGAATATCACAAACCTCCCCTCTTTCCTCCATCAAGGCAGTTGCCTGGAGCCATATAAATATATTGTCATGGCCAAGAAATCTGAACGAAGGATTTCAACATTCTTATCATTCATGTTGAGTGATCTGAATTATTATTTTTGTGTAAATGAAAATAGGACAGTTATCCACGAGCAGAGTTTGTCCATCCATGTCTTTTCTCATCCACCTTCCTAGGAGAATGTTTGAAAGTGTCAGTGGCTGACCCATGAATCAGCAGATGTGGCCTGATTTTGAAGATGAAAAACTATTATTAGAGGACAGTGCATACTTAACATTATTAATGGCATTTTTCATTGTGATGTGACAAATTGTTTATTTTTCTATTATTTGTGTATTCTTAATTTTCTTTACTAAACATACACAGCATTTTCATCATGTTTTATAGAAACATACTTTCTACCAAAATAGAATAAATCCTAAACACTTTAATTGCAGATCTATTCCTTTGAGTAATTTATGGTAAATGTGATAGGAAAATAACTAGACCCTTATAGTACATTTCCATGTGGAAAATACAATAATGAGACTTGTACAAAGTATCATTTAGGAAAAAGTAATGATGGTTCTTGAAACCCAGCAAAGACGCCTCAGGAAAGTCTCTAAAGCTATTTTAAAAGAGAAAAAAAGCTCTTCTCAACAAGCTTCAATATATTCATTTCAAGAACAATGTAACACTCTGCTAATTGTATGTGAATAATTGAAAAAATAAATGGTCTCTTTTAAGCTTGCTTCTAAACTTTAAACATGTTTTATAATGTATAATACTCGAGAAAAATCATTATAACAGATATTTAAATTTGATGTTTGGCAACTTGCCAAGTGGCCATCAAGGTATCTCCCATTACAGAGCTCGTACACCACTAAGTAATCCTGTTACATATTTATACTTATTAGATGAAACCCCTCCAACATTCATTATGAGATGTATAAAGTATAACACAAAAGAGAAACACAAAAGATGCAAGCAAAGGGAGAAAGCTTACAACCTTCGCTTCATGCCTGTATGTTAACATCAACAATGTGGCACTCTAACAGAGAAAGGAGGGAGGAAGGAAAAGAAAGAAAAGGGAAAGGAAAGGGGATACGTGGGGGAAAGAACAGCATGAGAAACTCATTTAACATGGTTCCCCTCTCCCATACGAAAAGCATGCACTGATTTGAGTTTAAGGAGGAGGGCAAAGAATTAAAAGAGAATGAGAAAACAACGGAGACTTTCATTGCAGTGAGCAACGGAACATATTATCCGCACAAGGACTTATGGGCCAGATAGTTGGAGTCCACAATAAAACAATGACCAGCCCAAGGAAAAATATACAATCCCTTCTTTCTGCACACACACACAAGGTATTGAGTTTGCTGTGTACAAAGACTCTCTTTGATTGGTTCTGTCCGAAAGATTTTCCTCCTCAAGGACTAACAAATAAAACCAAAAATAATTGGTAAATATTCCAAATCAAAGCCTCAAAAAATAAGTTCTCCTTTCCAATTTCCTTCTAAATACCATTTCCTGTACTTCAGGGTATAATAAAATAGATATAGCTATGCAGTGCAGTTTTCATTTATTTACATCTATATTTAAATTTTTACCTGAAAAAAATTTATTTTTCATGATGCAGTTCCATAGGCTCAAGGATTTCTCTTTCCTCTCTCCCCAATACCCTCCCCACTCCCTCTGATTTCCCCTATATTATTACAATAGAATAGTGCTTCAGAAAGTCACAAGTCCATCATTCTCCTAATTAAATGTACACTTATTTTTAAAATGTATTTTTTTCTGAGACAAAACTACTTCGAGAAGTTCTGCACAATTCTGATTTTTAACCAAGTCAATCTACTTCTCTCAAACAGTCAAGCATAAGTTTTCTAGTGGGTTCTAGTCAAATTTTCCAGGAGGGGAGAAAGAAAAGCCAAAATTTTCTCTTTCGCCAAGACAGGAAGTATTTCCTGGAGATTAATCACTGCTTTGCCTTACAAAATTCGGAAGGTGGAGAGACATAGTAGATTGTATCATCTTAGGTTGAGTTTGAAATTTTTGGAAATGGTTCTGCTGTCATTTGAGAGAATGTGATGGTGAGTCAAGCTGCGGGTACTCTAAACAAACAGTGCTACCCTATAAAAGTTGACCTCTGGAGAGTAGATCTAAAAGGAGGTAGATCCAGAGCAAGGCATCAAGACGGCACAAAGCCCATCAACACCAACAGAAATGAGGAGTCTTCCAGTCCTGCTACTGCTGTATGTGGCACTTTGCTCAGCCTACCCACTGAATGGAGCTTCAAGGGATGCAGACAGCAGCATGGACCTTCTTCAGGTAATTTATGGAAGGAGCCAGCACTTTCACAGTCAGTGCCAAGTGAGGATGTCTTGTGAGGTTCCACCTTAAGATCATGCCACTCTGTGTGTCTTAAAGCACGCGCACAAGGTATTGAGTTTGCTGTGTACAAACAGTTCAGGACAGAGGGTTAAAAAGTGTTGAATGGCAGTTTTTTGTTTAAGTTAAAAAAAAAAAACTCCACTGCAGTAACAGCAGTGGGGCTTCAGTCATGAGAACACGTGAACAATAGATGAGGAGTGTAAGAACAATTGCTTGCTTTGAAACGTCTCTAGGTACGTTAGTCAAGTGTGATTTTAGCTTCATACTTACATTGCTACTGTCATGTGTAGAAGAAGAGACTTGTTCAAGCTGCTTCGTAAGCAAGGACCTTATGAAAAATATAAAGTAGAAATTTAAAACTTTCACTTGAAATATGCATTTATGTCCAAAAAGTTTGCTTGTTTTGTTTTCTCCTTTAAGAATACAGGATAAATATTTCTGTGTCCAGCTACTTTATTTTTTGGCATAATAAACTAAGCTGGAGAGACAGGCACAAAGCTAAAGTAAAAGTGAGGAATGATTGTAACTGAAGAACTAGATGTAATGTTTATTAAGTAATTTTTTCAGCAAAGTAGGTAAGTATTTAAGCAATGTGCTAAACTTTAAGAAATTTACTGTCAGTATGCTATAGCTGAAAATCCTAAGAAATGATCTAAAAACTGTACCTGTTCTAATAGCAATACCTGGAGAATTACTACAATCTCACAAAAAAGGTGGAGAGTATTTATAGAAGAAAGGACATTAGTCCTATTGATAACAAAATCCGAGAAATGCAGAAGTTCCTTGGCTTGGAGGTGACAGGCAAGCTGGACTCCAACACCCTGGAGATGATACGCAAGCCCAGGTGTGGCGTTCCTGACGTTGGTCACTTCACTACCTTCCCTGGCACTCCCAAGTGGAGCAAAACTCACCTCACTTACAGGTAACGAGTCCAAAGCTGTTTCCACAGAGTTCTAAACTTTTGTGCATTGCTATGGGAAGAGAAAGTGTTAGCTTCCGTTTTTCTCACACAGGATTGTGAATTACACACCGGATTTGCCAAGAGAGGCAGTTGATGCCGCCATTGAGAAAGCGCTGGGAGTGTGGAAGGAGGTGACTCCACTCACGTTCTCCAGGATGCAGGAGGGAGAGGCTGACATCATGATCTCTTTTGCAGTTGGAGGTAGAAACAACAAACCAAAAGCACTTGAAATTTATCTATTTATCTAGTGTTGCTTTATTATAAAAATGTCAAGAGAAATCATAATAACCTATATTTCCAATAAATTTTTTTTTCTATTAGAACATGGAGATTTTATCCCTTTCGATGGCCCTGGAAATGTTTTGGCTCATGCCTATGCACCTGGGCCGGGGATTAATGGAGATGCTCATTTTGATGATGATGAACGATGGACGAAGGATACAGCAGGTTAGTCACTCCTCTATTGGCATGACTCTGACTTATTCTCTTTTTAAATTCATCAAACTCTTTAAGAACCAAGAATACTCATGAAATAATGTGTTACTGATTTTTTTAAATGAATCAGGGATCAGCAGAACATATTTTTTGTTTTTAATCATTATCAAAACTATTTTCAGATGCCTAAAAAGTTTGTTCTCTGAGTTTGTATACACTACATCAATAAATGTTTCCTTAATAATTGTGGATCTTGTGTGATCTAAAGGCCATCAATATAAACAGAAATGTTCTCTTATATCAATTGCAGATACCCAAGGATATCTGCAACTACTAGTGTGGTGCACTGAATTTACATTAAAGTGAGCCCTGGGTGTTGCTTATGCAATTTCCCCTTCTACTTCAGTTTTCAAAGCAGAAGTCAGAATTGAATTAAAGAATCTGAAGTTCTCTAGTATTGGATGCCTAAGTCAATATTTTATTACCTCTAGGTTGGAAATAACAGACTTGTTCTGCTAGAAAGAAATAACCCCAACACAATGTCAAAATTGCTTGGGTAGAAGAATGTCTCATAGTTTGTAACTGTACTTTGGGTGTTGGCTTCCAGAATTCTCAAACATTTTCTGAAATAAGTGACCCTGCACCTTGAAATTCCATCATGATTTATGGTGTAAAAGTAAACACTACCTCTGCAGGACATACAGATTTGAGTTTATCATATTTTAAAACTGTTAAAACTTTTGAATGGTTGGTTTGAGGGTGGTTCTTTAAGGGATTTCAGAATTAAAATGAACACATTATAATGCTTTAACTGAGACTGCAACTTCAAATGTGAACACATTGTAGCAGAGTTTAGCTTTTAATTGACAGATGAACAGAACTATTGACTAATAAGAAAATGGGGGCGGGGGTGTGTGTGATAATTTCCTGCTTAACAACATGAAAAGGGACCCATAGAGATTCCTGAAGCTAGAGAGGGAAGCAATTGGAGGTGACCAGATACTTTAATTCACACATTGATCTCAAAAATGAATCTTGAATACGCTTGGCTTCCCTTTACTGAATCAGTAAGACACAAAAAACCCTGTGTGGTTCCAGGATATCAACAAATATAATACATAGCTGATGTATGCAATGTGTATAAATAAAATGCTATTTTTTTTTATTTCTTAAATAGGAACCAATTTATTCCTTGTTGCTGCTCATGAGCTTGGTCACTCCCTGGGTCTGTTTCACTCAGCCAACCCCGAGGCACTGATGTACCCAGTCTACAAATCCTTTACAGACCTTGCCCATTTTCGCCTTTCTCAGGATGACGTGAATGGCATGCAGTCCCTCTATGGTGAGTTATGCTGCAAAAATTAGGCATTGTGGCTTTGCAAAGATGGTCACTAGGAAGCTTTGAAATGATATATGAAGCACTTGTGATATAGCTCATAAACACCTGGTTTATGTTGGTAAAACTTATAAAGTGATACAGGCATCACCTAACTTCTAATGTTTGCATACCTGGACCTGTTGCCTCTAGGACCTCCTCCTACCTCATCTGATAACTCTGTGGTGCCCATGGAACCCCACCCTCCAGCATCTAGAACACCAGCCAAGTGCGATCCAACTTTGTCCTTCGATGCTGTCAGCACGCTAAGGGGAGAAATCCTATTTTTTAAGGACAGGTCAGAGCAAAAACTTATACTCTTCATATCTGATTTGGCCTACAGCGCTCAGAAAGAATCACAAACAGAAACTTGATAGAAATTGTTTAGACATTTAAGACAAAAACATTCCCTCTGAGCTCTAAGTCATTCAGATTTGCGGCTGCCCCTTCCACATTTTCCTAAGATGATCATGTTCGTTTTTTGAAAATTCAGGACGATTTCTTTCTATTCCTGTTTGCATTGCTTGTTCCCAAATGGGCTGAGTCATGTTACTCAAAAGATACAAGCAGAGTTTAGAATTAGAATCACACTTTTATCCCTTAAAAATCATACCAAAGTAAACACTATAGATAATTAATTAATTTATGGGCTGTTTGATAAATGTACACATGCTAAAGCATTCTAACTACACAAACAGAAAGTTAACAGTTTTAGTTCACTTCTTATCTATATTCATCTACAATCAAGGTGCCTTGCATATCTTTCCAGAACTTTCCTGGGTTTATGCAGGAGTACATTTGTACAACCCATCACATGCATGTGCATATTTTCTATAATTTCGTAAGGTATAAATGATGGTATGGCACAGATGTCAGTTTGTGTGCATTGCATTGCACTGGGTTGGTTACTTTGCATGGAAGGATAACTTTCCCTTCACTGAAGAAATTGCTCTGGAACTCTGTGGCAGAAGAGCCACTGTGACATGTGAGGGAAAAGGAAAGATGTTTTCTGAAAGGCAATATCCCTTGCCATCCAGCCTGAAAGATGAAGAAACAGACGACAGGTAAATTGGGACAGTAAAGAAAAGTGAAAGACTATTTTTCAACTCACACTTCCTTCTGTATGTATTTCAGGTATTTTTGGCGCAAATCCCTCAGGATACTTGAACCTGAATTTCATTTGATCTCTTCGTTCTGGCCATCTCTTCCTTCAGGAGTGGATGCTGCCTATGAAGTCATTAGCAGGGATTTTGTTTTCATTTTTAAAGGTAATTATTATATAAATCTTTCTTTAACTTGCCGAAATAAACCCTCTGGCAAGGAAATTGAATATGACTTCACTTTTTTCCAGTATATCAAATTTTGATTGTCTCTGCAGCCACAGAAATAGTGAAGAAATAGCCAGGGCAGTTCTAATTTTATTTGTATTTTACATATGAAAAACCACAGAGTAATATACTATGCAGAGTTTTATTAACTTTCAAAAATTCTATATTTATTTTCTATTTATTTGAAAGGCAGAGAGACAGAAAAAAAAAAACTAGATAGAAGTCTTCCATGCACTGATTCCCTGCCTGCACGTCTACAACACCTGGGTCAGACTAAACCAGGAGCTGGACCTGGGAATGCAGCTGTCATCTCTTATGGGTGATCCAAGCATTTGAGCCATCACCTATTGCCTGGAAACAGGAAGCTGAGATGGAGACTGGGGCTGGAACTTGAATCCAAACACTCTGAAATAGGGTGCAAGCATTCCAAGAAACTTTTCACCTGCTGAGCTAGACACCCATCTCTGCCCACTTTTAAATTACTTCATTTGACCTCTGTTAATTTGGTAAATCTGCAAACTTTTGTTAACTGCCCACTATGAGCTAGTTATTAAATCTAAAATTCAGGCATCCTCTTTACAAGAATCAAAGGCTAAATTTTAATTGCTATAAATGCAATATTATTTTTTTTAAACAGGAAATCAGTTCTGGGCCATCAGAGGAAATGAAGTACAGGCTGGTTACCCAAGAAGCATCCAGACCCTGGGTTTCCCTTCAACCGTAAGGAAAATAGATGCCGTCATGTCTGATAAAGAAAGGAAGAAAACATACTTCTTTGTGGAAGACAAATACTGGAGGTGAGATTCAATAGGAATTTCTTTTTGTAGAGTTAATTATAAATTTTTTTTCCATCTCTGATAAACCCTCATTTCTACCCCTTCGATCTCTCAATAGAAGGATGGGGCTGAAGCAACTACAGGGGGAGAGCTTACTGTAAAATATAGCAGTGGATGATAATAGGCATTCCCTGAGCTCTCCTGATTCGGAGCCCATGAAGAGTGGGCTGGCACTGTTCTGTGTTGTGCCTCCTCTGCCTGGATTCCCCTTCTCATGCATCCACCTCCTCAAATCCTGCCCAAGTTCCACTACCTCCATGACACCTTTATTCCTTAACTTCAAGCCCAACTGGGCTCTTCTGAAAGAAGACACCCCAAAAATCCAGGTGACAATTCAGCATCGCTTTCCCACTGTCTTGTGCAGGTTCTTGTAACTCTGCTCATAATCTCAGAGTGTTTGGCTTTACTGACGTTTCACAGGTCTCCTTTGGCATCACTCATAAATCATCTGTGCCCGTTTAAAAGATAACAAGCAGCAGACCTCGATTTTGCAAATAGAACTCAGGACTAACAGGCAGGTTGATTTCTAAGCCGTCTGCCCAGACTTTGAGGTATCGGACAGACCATAGGTCAGCAGGGCCAAAACAAAGTTACTGCACTTCATTTCTCATTCTAATCCCTTTGCCTATGTAGTTGTCGCAGAAGCTTAGATGAGGTGACAAGAGCAGATATAAATGGGATAATTATGGTGGATAATTTGAAAATGTGTTTCACATTAATGATTCAAGTCACTGATGTATGTGTCTGCTCACAGCCTCATGTTTGGAGACAGAAAGATGATTAAGGTGCTTTCTGTTCAGACTTAAGAATTAATTAATTAGATGCTGCTGTTGTAGAGTAAAGGGAAAAGCCACTGTGCTCAATGCTGGCATTCCATATAAGCACCAGTTCAAATTCTAGCTGCTCCACTTTTAATCCAGCTCCCTGCTAATGTGCCTAGAAAAAGCAGTCCAAAGATTGCCCAACTGTTTGAACTCCTACTATGCATGTATGACACCAGATGGCACCAGTCTTGGCCATTAAGGAATGAGCTAGCTAGAAAGTTTTCTTCTGCCTATCCCTCCCTTTGTATCTCGACTTTCAAATAAATAAATATGCATCTTTTAAAAAGAATAATGAACCCCTGCCAACTCGTGACATCCCCTTGGTCCTCATGAAAACATGGTGCCCTAGTAATAAATTCAAAGATTTCTTCAGTGTTGAATGTGCTTGGCATTTATTCATAGTACTAGAACAGTTTACCAGGATTCCACTCTGAATCCAGCTATTATTTAAAAAAATTTTTTTTGTAATGTTAAGCTGTGTTTCTTGCACTTGGTACAGGTTTGATGAGAGGAGACAGTCACTGGAGCCAGGCTTCCCTAGGCTTATAGCAGAAGACTTTCCAGGAGTTAACTCAAAGGTTGATGCTGTTTTTGAAGCATTTGGTAAGACAATATCTATTTTGTTGGCAATAGTGCACTTGAAATGTTTTCCAATATCAGATAAAGTAAGATCATTGAAACGATTATTAATAATATGGTTTTCAAAACCAGTCCCCTACCCAAAATTTCAATTAACTTACATTTGTACTAATTACCGCATATCATAAAGATAATTAACACAAATCTGTTTTATATATGCATATAAAGCCAGAGCTCTCAAGTGTCGCTTCCTCACATCTCTCGACCTTTCAGATTATCATGTTAGCATAAAAACCCCATCTAGTGGTGTGGCCAGAATTAACACTGGTTGCCTAGCTTTGTCTTCCATCCTGTTCTACTGCTACTATGAGTTCCCAAGAAGATCTTCTATCTTTCCTGAGTAGTAAGTGCTTACTTAAAATTTAAAAAAATATTTTTCCCCTAAACTCAAAGAGAAGTGGGAAGAGGTGATGATCTTTGCTGAAAGGTAAGTGGTCACCACATTTGCAGGACATTGAAAGGTCCCTGGGCATCATTTCAAAGTTCTTGTGCTTCTCTGGGCCACATTTGCCTGTTGGGTTTCATTGAAGAGATGAGAAGGAAGAATGTTAGGAAGAAAGGACGTAACAGGTGATCATTTCCAGACAAGCAAAGGGTTTCTTCTGATTTGAAGTAACCTAACAATGCTGCTTTTGTTGGGAGAGGAGTGATGGTTCCCTCCTTTTTTTGTTGAGTTGCTTTGGGCAAGTTTCTGATTCTGTCTAAACCTCAACTTGCTTATTACTAAAATGGAATTAGTCAGCACACAATGTGGTTATATAAATAGATGAAAAACAATTGTCTAAATGTTAAACATTGCCCCTGGCACAAAGCAGAACTCTTTAAGCACATTTTAGTTTTAGTTATCCTTTTTTTTTTTTTTCTAAATTTTCCGTTTCCAGATTTTCTTGTTGAAAAAGAAAACTCACTGTTTCCCTTGTCTATACCTGGCAGGATTTTTCTACTTCTTCAGTGGATCTTCACAGTTGGAGTTTGACCCCAATGCAAAGAAAGTGACACATATTCTGAAGAGCAACAGCTGGTTTTCTTGTTAGAATGGACATGTAGAAGGCATATAGCATGGACATTTTAAATGAAGCTAATTGTTCAACACTTGAGTCACTGTGTACCAAGGTGGTTCACTTTCTCCAGCATATGTTGTGATGGAAAACTGATCTGAATTATGTATCTAGCTAGTCATTCATTTCAAACTGCAATGGCTGCTTCATATGCACACTGTCACATGGAAGGGAGGGGAATACTCATGGACAGCAAACAAGTGCAAGGATCTTTGTAGATTATTTGCATGTTATTTAATAAAATAATTTGTCAGTTACTTTGATTTAGTTTGGTTGTTTCAAAGCAAGTCATCCTCACAATCTTGAGCACACAGCGTGCACTGAGCAATTGCAAGCCTGAGATGCCAACAGGGGAGGCCTAGGGTCATGGTCTCAATGGCTGGGGTTCACAATGGGCTCAGTTATTACCTAATGGCACCTGCCTCTCCTACCCACTCTACAGACAGGATGCTTATTTTACAACCCAGACATGGTGCATGTTCCAACACACCAAAGGACAAATATGGGAGGGGAAGCTTGTCCTTTTTGGGGGCAGGAACAAAAAAATAATCAGCAAATAACTTAATTCTCACAACTCATTTTGCAAAGAGAGAAACCAAACTTGTTCATATTTTCCCTTTGCTTTCATATTCCCTGAGTAGATTTATTTTCCATCCCCTGGAAAACAAATTTCCTCTACTATGTATTATTACACAAAAATATCTCTTATACTCACTGCACATCTGTCAGTGCCCCCTGCCAAATTGTCATTAACAAATGACAATTACAAAGTAGGCTTATTGTTCATCAGTTGTGCAAAGCCTGGTATGTGCTAAGAGTCTGCTCTCTTTTTAACTTAACTATTCATTTAATCACATTGTATTGGCAGGGATTGTACAAGGCTACAGGGAGAGGAATCTGAGGAAAAAGTGGAAACAGACCCTGCCCTCACTTGAGATTATAATTAAGCAAAAAATGCAGATATTCACAAATATGAATATGTAAATTTAAATGTAATAAGAACTAAAAAGGAAAAATTAGGCTTCTCAGATAAATCAGTAAGAGGATCTACTTTGAGCTACATGATTTTAGAAGAACTTGAGAATGATATTGGAGAAGGAGGTTTTTTTTTTTAAAGTTTCATTTGTCTGTCTGAAATAGAGTCAGAAAAACTTTCTACCTGCTGGTTTATTCTCCCAAATACACATAAAAGCCACAGCTTATCCAGGCCAAATTCAGAATCCAATAGCCCCATTTGGGCCCATGGAGACTTGAACCCTTGAGCATATTATCAGGAAAATTGGTGGGAAGCAGAACTACCTGGTACACCACAACTTGTTCCATTTTTACATTTAACTGGGGTTTTACATAATCAATTCATGACTTAAAACCACTGAGTTTCCATTGTTCCAAATTAGCCAGAGCACAGAAAGCCCCAGATGTGAGAGTTTCATTTGTTTCCCTATCTTCTCTGCACAGAAAGATTTCTGAACTCATCCTGTAGTTCACAAGTGGTCATTTCTTTGGACTGTTCTGATAACATCCATCAATTAAAGGGACCGAGAAAAGAAAAGGATTTAAAGACAAGGTTCATTGGTAAGCCACCACCAGCTGGATAGCATAAAACTTGGCTTTCAGAAATATTACTATAGTTTTCAAAATGTCTGAGTGTAATGAGGGTGCAGAACTTTGCTGTCCCATCACAGCTTCCTTAAGATATTGACTACTTTATATGTCAGATGCAGATTTTCAGACATTCTGTTTATTTTGTCCTTGCTCCAATTTGCCTTTAGTCTGTTTCAGCTCACCTTTCAGTTTTAGAAAATGCAAATGGATGGCTGGGTCTGCCCTTGCTGATCTCAGCTGGGCAATGCTAGGCTGCTAGATGTGCCTTCAGAACTGGGTTTGATTAGCTATTTCTTGCCTGGCGATTGCTAATCACATCACATGAATGTTTTCTCTGCATACCATTCTTGCTTTAGGCGTGTGTGTGTGTGCCAATAAGCCAGTTGTATCACTCATATTAAGAACTATGAACTTCCCTCCAAAGCCCATAATTTGCTTCATACTGTTTCTCAGAATGGGCTAATCTCATGCCAAAGATTTGAAACCTATTTCACTTAGTCCAACCCTTTTGGGAAGTATCAACTTGAGTCTGAGAGCAGCCTCCCAGGAACTACACTAACACATGACCTCAGCTGGCAGGAAACACAGGAGAAAGAGCCCCAGCTGCTTCCTGAACATCTAGCACTCACCTGGCCCTTTCCCTCCCTGGACTTCACCTGACGCCACGCTAGGTGGTCCCTGGGCTCTGTGTGTCTCATTCATTCATCAGCTACATCCCCTTTTTTCCCTCCTAAAGACCAGGTTAGCATTTTATTTTTCTATTCATGACACTCAAATTCATTAAATGAGGGAAGATAATAGAATATAATCGAAATAACATGGAAACATGTTTTGCCTTATATCAACCATCTAGCCTAGCTATTTGTATAAGATACACGAAGATAAACACAAACATCTTTATACACATAATGCTTACTCATCTGTATACACTGCAGAACAATAGTTAAAATTCACAGTGAGATCCTAGTGCAAGCTGTAGCATATGAAAGTACAAACAAGGTCAGGGATGAGCAATTTACCACTGACCTGTCATTTCAAATACTTTGCATCCAGCCTTCCTACAGTCGTATTATGAAAAGCATTTTTACTCCTTTCCTTATAAAATGAATGTTTAAAATTTATATTAGAGGCAGAAAGACTGAATGAAAGAGCTCTCATCTGCTGCTTCCATCCCCAGATGCCAGCAATGCCAAGGACCGGGACAGGCAGAACCTGCCAAGAAGTCAATCTGTTCTCCGGTGTGGGCGGCAGGAACCTAGTCGCTTGAGACATCGGCTGCCCCCCAGGGGCCACATAAGGTAGAACTGGAAGCAGAGCCTGGACTTAAACTTAGGCACTTCAAATGGGATCCAGACCTTCCAAGGGGCATCTTAATCATTGGGCCAAGTGACTACCTCATTTTTTTTTTATCATTTTTAAGTAACTTGACTGCATTCACCCTTGGCAGTCCAAATTCCAGGGTGCTAGTTTAAATTGTAATGGACAGTGGAGTACCTCATACCTGCCACTATTCCAATCTATAAATTTTGTCAAGAAGTTCTGTTCCAGAAAAGCTGGTGCATGTTGATGTACTGACAAGCCATTCGACGTATTGACAAGCCAAGTGCCAGAGACTAGGCTAATAGTTCATGTCAGGACAAGATCAATCCATGGTGATATGATGCTTGGTTCTGGAATGTTCAATCTCTGGCTCAATTCCTTTTACCCTGGGCAGGATGTGGACTGTACTTGCATTTACAAGAAGTGATCCTGTGACATTTGGAAGGGAAAGGGGGAAGGGAAACAGAAGTCAAAAATCAGACTTGGACTTGCTAATCAACACACAGAATAATGGATTTGACCCAGATAAGAACCTAAAAGATATTGAGGTTACAGAACCTCGACAATAAGTGAGCAGATGAGCTATGAACTAAGAGTCAGTTAAGTCTCGCATCAAGAACAAGTAACAACCAGGATTAGTTGTAATCCAAGGATACAGCAAGAAGAGCATGATAAACCATCTCCTATCTTGCAAAAATGACTTTTAAATGCAGTTTTCTCTAAAACTGAAGATGTTGTCAGGACTTCAAAATGAGGAAGTATTCAGCTTGCTGACCTGAGAGAATAATGCTGGAAGCAGCACCAATGTTCCTTAGCCTTGACTTAGAATCACTGATAATAATCTGCTGTAGTGGAGCTGAAATTCCCTTTGGTTGGAGAGTAAATTATCTGGTTCCAGAAAGAGAACATACATAGAAAGAAATAGGAAGGAGGGCGGGGATGGAGGGGAATTAATACAAAGATCCTTTTATTAAGGACTGTTAGGCTCTAGCAGGCTTTGCAGTCATTTTGTTTGAATAGGTCTTCCGTTGTTAAGATGTTTGAAAACTGTCTGAGAAACTGATTTAAGGCATTCAGGTTTTATCATATTAGTAAGAGGTTCTTGAGTATTTAGACATATCATGCTTGATGCTGGTGCAGTGACTCAATAGACTAATCTGTCTGCTAGCACTGCATCGCATATGGGCACAGTTCATGTCCCAGCTGCTCCATTTCTTTTGATTTTCCTTTCCCACAAAGTTATATATTACCCTTTCACTTGGAGATACTTAAATGGTTTTTGTCTTGATGTCCTCAGCCTACATCAGTCTTGTGACTAAGCCGATTCTTACTGGAACCTTGTAAATGGGTGGGCTGACTCTGAAGATTTGTACATAAAAGGCTATACTTTACATAAATTTAGGTCATAATTCTGCCATACTGTGAATGAGCAGAAATGTTTCCTACTGGTTGTACACTCAACAATTTTGAAATTTCATTAGTGTTGAGTTAAAGAGCAGAGGGGCCAGTGCAGTGGCATTACAAGTTAATCCTCCATTTGCTGGTACCAACAACCACTCCGAGCAACAGCTCCTATCCTGGCTGCTTCACGTCCTGATCCAGGTCTCTGCTGATAGCTTGGGACAGCAGCAGAGGATGGCCTAAGTCCTTGAGACCCTATATCAACATGGGGGAGCTGGAAGAATCTCCTGGCTCCCAGCTCCTAACTGGCCCAGCTTTGGCTGTTGCAGTCATTTGGGGGAGTGAACCAGCAGCTCCTCTGCCCTTTTATTGCTGTATAATGCCTCATCAGTATTAAAGGTCACAAGGCAATAATCATAATGTGTCTCATTCAGTTTACAAGTATCTGTAAGTTTCATTGTTGCATAAATAAATGAGTGAGGTATTATTTCCTTTTAGCAGGTAATATCCAAGTTTGTAGATAAGATCAAGCCAGTGAATAAAATGCAAATCCTTTCTAGGATGACTTAAGTGAAAGACTTCAGAGGGTGAAAAGAAATGAAGCCTAGCCAAAGGTATAGGACTTCTGCAGACAACTGGGGCTACTATGCAATAATCATTTAAGTATTTGTCTTTCTCTGCCTTTCAAATCAAATGAAAACAAACAGTACATTTTTAATTTTTTAAACAACAATAAATAAATGAAAACTTGTTGTCATGGTAGGAAGAAATTTACTTTTAAAAATTGCTTTTAAGCACTTGGTTTCTTGGCCAATGTCAGCAATTAGGGTAATAACTCAGGACTCAGATAAACAGAAGATGAGGGGCTCGGCAACACAAGAAGGGCTGTGAGTGGGAGTCTCTACCCTCCACCAGAGGACAGCTGCTTTCTCTGATTTACAAGATGGCATCCCTACAGGAATTTTGTTCAAGTAAAGAGGACAATAGTTTATGAAAGCTTGGAGAATTCTTGAATAGGATATATACACACCTCCTGGATAATTTTAAGAGACCCTTTAGAGGTGACATCTATGTAATGTCTTGCCCAATCCTACCTGGTCACTTGTTACCCTTGAGTTGACTTAGTGACCCTTTCTGCAGGTTCCAGGTCCTCTTCATTTTGAAGAGGTTTTCCAATAGTCCAAGTGTGTCTGCCACCTCATGACTTTTAAGACAGAAAAAAAAAAAAAAGAAAAGAAAGAAAAGAAAAAGACACACAGTCTGGTTTCAGCCTGGAACAGAAAGAGCTCCTTTTACTATTTTCTTTGCCTGTATGGAGTTCCTTCAGTTGCTAATATTCTTTGGTCTCCACCTTGCTCTTTGTCTGATTTCCATGAGAAGGCAAGATCTCACATCTTGTGAGAGCTTCTGCAAGTTCTCTTACCCTCTCATATACATGAACCACTGTCTGTAAAGAAGGAAGTTGTGGTTAAGTGATCAGAGGCAAAAATGAGTTCTTGAAACTCAATCCAATTAGATATGGTTCTTGACATGACAAGGAAAGCACAAGTTCATTTAAAAAGGATTGAGAAAACAAACCCGACTCAGGAAAACATCTCAAGGTGCTAAATGAAGAGCACAGGCCAGTGTTCAGCTTTATCTTTCATTTACACACTCTCAAGGAGGGAGTGTAGCACCTGTTGGAGGAAGCATGACACAGTCCAACCATTCTCCCCAAGGATGGTGTGGATGCCACTGGTGGCATCAAGATAATCTGGTGTGGAACACAAATACATGAGCATACATAGAAGGAAGAAGTGTTAAACCCTTTTGAATGAATAAATGAATACACAGATGCATGCTTAAAGTCAAAGATTGGAGTGCTTTAAGAAGTTTGTGGAAATCCATGGATCAAGAATCAAAGGATTCTTCTTAGTACACAATTTCATGAACCTTGTTAAGACCCCTCGTAAATACCACCTAGTCAAAAAAATCAAACAGAATTTAAAAAATTAAGATGTAGATTTACACTTGGTTCTCACCAAATTCTGGAATATTTGATACAGACTTACAGACGAAGGATCTTTGTCCCATTGTGCTAATGGCCAGGATCATCATCATGTCCTATCCCACCTTACCCGCAAACTCTAGGCCTAAATAAAGATTAGGGAAAACCATGGCACAATTGCAATAAAGTATGAGGTAGCTTAGCAAAGGTTGGAGGAAACCTCTGAGAACCCTTGGGGACAGTGATTGTATCCTGGGCTCCAGTTCCTGTCAGAATAGCTATTGAACAGCCAAAGGTAGACCAGATTCAAAATTTCATCCCTTGCCCTATCAGCCATGGGTATGCAGATCACCAGAACACGTTTAAAAGAAAGAAGAAGAAAATGGGGTACTCTGTTCCAGTGTACATAGGGAGAACATTTCTCAAACAGGATAGCAAGGAAATAGAGAAAACAACTGTTTACATGGCAGAACGTGTCTCCTTCCTAATGTCCTGTTTGATATTAATCATAAAATTGCAACACTAAACTAACTCAAATAATCTGTTGAGGGAGTCACCACTGCCTCTGATGATTGCTCAGGCTATTCACTGTTAATCAAGAGGATGTTATGCAACATGAGTCACACTGCCTTTGGCTTTGTGAAGAAGCAAGGACTCTCATATAAAGAAGGCATGTCCCAATTGATAACACTGAAGCAGCCAGCAGGTAGAGAACGAGCCGGTGGTTGTCCTGCACCAAGAAGGAAGCATGCCCAACTTTCATCTGCTGCTGTTACTGCTCTGGGTAGTGGGGTCTCATGGCTTCCCAGCAACTTCAAAAACACAAGAAGAGGAAGATGAGGAAGTGGTCCAGGTAAATGCTGCATTGCATGCGCCAGAAATGCCAAGTCTTTAGTTTGTATTTTCACACAGTAGCATAATGAGACTTACTTAAGGATTATCTGTGAAACTCTGTCTACAAATCTTGCTCCACTATGAAGTTATAACTTTATAGTAACTGATGGTAGAAAAATTTCTAATCTGGAATTGCATTTTTCCATCAATGATAAAGATAATAAGGAATGTGAAATTTAAACAAAATCATGGTTCTGTGAGTGGGTATTTAGTTTAATAATTAAGACTCCGGCCCTTTCTACTGGAGTACATGGATTTGATCCCCAGCCCCTGCTCCTAACTCTAGTCCCTGCCATTTGTAAGCAGCAGCAGCAGTGGCTGGGTCAAATAACTAAGTGCCTATTCCCTTGATGGAGATTGCAGCTCGGGCTTTGGCCCCCTTTGAGCCCTGGCCACACAGGCATTTGGATAGTGAACCAGTAGGTGAAGTCTGCGTTCTCTTCTCTCAAATAAACAAAACATTTTGAATAAAACAAATCTTTGTGTGAAAGAACTTTAAAAAGCAGTTCTTTGCCCAACACTTCATGTGTCAGTTTTTAGAAAATGAAAAAGATTTCCTATCAAGTGTTTCAATGCTTTTGTCTTTTATTAGAAATACCTAGAAAACTACTACAATTTGAAAACTGGTTGGAGGACAATCTCAAAGCAGACAGGCCCTGGCCAATCAGTCGAGAAACTGAAGCAAATGCAGGAATTCTTTGGACTGAAGGTGACTGGGAAGCCAAATGCTGAAACTCTGAAGATAATGAAGCAACCCAGGTGTGGGGTACCTGATGTGGCGAACTTTGTCCTCACCCAAGGGAACCCACCACGTTGGGAACAGACACAGCTGACTTACAGGTAACCGGGTTGAGCACCAGAATGAGAGAACTTCCTGTAGCCCTAAGCAAAAAAAAAAAGTTTTTTGAGTTTCTGTTTTCTTTCGTTCTAAGGATTGAAAACTACACACCGGATTTGTTGAGAGCAGATGTGGACCATGCCATTGAGAAGGCTTTTCAGCTCTGGAGCGATGTCACACCCCTGACGTTCACCAAAGTTTCTGAGGGTCAAGCAGACATCATGCTATCCTTCGTCCGGGGAGGTGAGCTCTTCCTGTAGCATGAACGTATTCTCACCTGAACCTCAGCTTCTTCTTAATTTTCTCCAGCTGAGATTCCTAGTTTAAGAAAATTGTCGACTTTCTGGGCCTCAGGAGGGAACCATTTCATATTTGCTGGGTCTGTTGGTTGGCCTTGTAACAAAGCTGCTTACTCCCCTAGGTTAGTCTGTGTAGGAACCAAAGCGAACCTTTGTTGCATCCTCTTTTTTGCAGATCATGATGACAACAATGCCTTTGATGGACCCGGCGGGCAGCTTGCTCATGCTTATCAACCCGGCTTGGGCATGGGAGGGGATGTTCATTTTGACGAAGATGAAAGGTGGACCAAGGATCTCAGAAGTAAGCAAAGTTTCCTTCTGTCATTCCCTACCATTTCATGGCTCATGTAATACTCACTGATTTAATGGAAAAAATGCATTGATAGAAGTATGTCTTTTCTGTTGCAACTCAGAAAATCAATAACATATTTATAAAAATGTGAGGTTATAGCTTGTAGTATAAAGCTGACAAATCGACCATTCTAAAAGGCTTTCTGTGTTTTTCAAATTTTCCCACATTAAGCATTTATCAGTTTTGTCAATAAGAACAAGTAGTAAATGCTACTAGAAATGAATTGCTTCTCAGTGAAATAATAAAGCCACCTAATCGTTAAAACTGATTAATCATGCTAGAGTTTCAGATGGGTTTTTCTTTATCAGTGTGATTTTAGACTTTAATATGTCTTTCTACTTTTAATAAACATATAGCTTCCACACTCAGAAAAAATACATTTATTTCAGAAAGTCACAGGGAAAATGTGAGCATTAATCCTTATGAGGTTATAGATTATTTCTTAATTAAAGACCTCAAAATTAAATTAATTTCAAATTATTTCAAATGGATTTGTTATATCTTTTAGATTATAACCTGTTCCGCGTTGCTGCTCATGAACTGGGTCATTCTCTTGGACTTGCTCATTCTACTGATATTGGGGCATTAATGTACCCTAGTTACATGTTCAGTGGTGATGTTCAGCTAGCTCAGGATGACATTAATGGCATCCAAGCCTTATATGGTGAGTACAAAGAAAAACATCATGGACAAGGACTTACTAGTCTTTGCACTTTTTAAAAATAGAAGTAAGCTGTTTCCTATAACAAACTGTCTTTCAATGTTTATGTGCTTTTGTGATACTAGGCAAAAGTAAACCTAGGTCTCTTATTTTCTTTAGGAGCATCTCAAAATCCCAATCAGCCAGTAGGCCCACAGACACCGCAAGCATGTGACAGTAAACTGACTTTTGATGCCATAACTACAGTTCGGGGAGAAATAATGTTCTTCAAGGATAGGTAAGACATCCAGTTTTCTTTGTGTTCTTCATTTATAATAATAATTACTATGGGCAACTAATGAGATTCACGTGTTCTCTATCTTATGTTTGTTTGCATCTATATGTTATATAGTAGTGCTTGCATTTGTACAACATAATGTACTTATGCCAATTTTGTTTTCACCTATTATAAACAGGCTCAAAAGCAAAGATAATAACTCACTTCCCAAGGTTATAACTAGGCAGAAGTACAAGTAGGACAGAAACTAGATGTCAGGTTTCTGACCATCTACACCAAAGTATTCCTTGTTGCTGAGACTCGCTATTGTCCCCCATATGACATCACACTGCACTGTTCCCTAAGAATTGCAGAGTCAATTTTGTTGACTACTCATGAAGTGTGGCATAAGGAGTGGCTGAGTTCGAAGTTCACTCTTGCTTCTTATCAGCCGGTAGGCTTAGACACTTCCCATAGTTTCCCTTAACTTCAATTGCTCATCTTGGAAACAGGTATGAAACTGTCCTGTTGAGTTTTTATGAAAAGACAAAGGTACAGGGAAGGTCCGGGCATGTTGTAACTACTAAGATGGGCACATTTATTGCTGTTGTATTCCAGCAACAATTGCACTACAGCTGGCTCAAAATAGCTGACCAAAACCAGCTGTTAAATTCTGAAGAATTTTTTCAAATTGATGGGGATTCCTAGTCTTTAACATAAACTATTATGCATAAAATTAGATTATACAAAACCCCAAAATAAAATAATCAAAAAGTGTCACTGTAATTGTTTTAGTACATTATATTAGTTGGGTTCTTGAGGTTATTGATGTCTAATGTATTGGGTGGTAGAAATACTATACAATAGTCCTCTGCTGTGACTCTTGAAATTCACCACAATAGGAGAATTTCCACCAGGGAAATCAGCAAATGCTGCAAACCAGGACTTTCAAATCTCCATCAGCCTCTGCAAAGCAGATGGCAGACATTCACCAGGACAACCATAAGGGGCTACATGTCAGCCAGAGATTACCAGCCTTAGATTTAAATCTCTCTTTTTCTTTCTTTCTTTCTTTCTTTCTTCTTGAATCAGATTCTACATGCGTGCAACTCCCTTCTACCCAGAAACTGAGCTCAATTTCATTTCTGTTTTCTGGCCACATTTGCCTAATGGCCTTCAAGCTGCTTATGAAGTTGCCCACAGAGACGAAGTCCTGTTTTTCAAAGGTAATATTTCTGGTAATTTTTTTGACTGATTTTATGAATTGAGTTTTCATCCACTTTTGGGCTGAACATGGTATTAGTTATGTGCTCCCTATTCCATTTTGAAAATCTGAGTCTCAAGAGATCTGTGGGGACTCGTAAGTTTAATTAAGTTAATCATGTGTTTATGAATCATTTTAAATTAAGAAATGACTGGAGATACAAATACTGTGACTTATTTATGAATCCACCCTATCTTACTAAGAAGCATAAATGAGACATACAGAGAAACGACAGCACTAGGCAGTCGCTGGGGTGGGAGCTGTGTTCTCGCCACCAAGTGTCGCCCTCAGGTCAGCAGCACTAGCTCCATGGGTCAGTCTGTTACATATAGGATCTCACAGTCCATCTCAGCTCTTCTTTGATAGAATTTGAATTTTAGCAGGTTTCTAGGCAGTTCTTCTACACATTACAGTATGAGAATTCCTGATTATTATAAATTGAACAGGACAAACTTCTTTGATTCAACCTAAAGACACAATGTAATGATCAGTTTCTAACTTTGAAGACACTATGGTATTGTGTAAATCTGTGTTTGGCATAGGACATCCAAACACTCAGGGGACTTAAGTGAGTCACGCACGCAAGGCAAAAAATTAAATGCAGTGAGCTGGGCAACACACTAAATATGCTGAATAAGCATATTTGTGCAGTGAAAATAATTGTAGCTTCAGAATATAACACCACTTTTGTGAGACACAGGAATATAAACTTACAAAATCTGACATGGCTTAAATTAAAGTACTTGGAAATCTATTGTAGTCAGAGCAATGATTTAAATCCAGGGTTGCAACCCATTACAAGTTGTGAGTCACCACGTTACTCTTTTTGGATACCAAAGATGTGGCACTTCCACAATCCAGGGCAACCTAGAGAAGTGAGCTTTCTGTCACTGAGATGGCATGACAGACTAGCTCTTTGAAGATCTGGCTTTACCCCCGCCATAAACATGTCATTCTCAAAGCTGGTTGCAGGTTAGCATTGCCCAGGAAGCTTCAGAAACCATAACCATTTAATTGATTTAACATGGGATCCCAGGATCATTATGCTCAAAAATCTCTCTGAATGATTCTAACATGTAGCTAAGACACTGTGCTAGCAAGTGAAATGAAGGGCTCAATCGGAAACCTGTTACTATCTACGGAGCCCTCAGTAAGTATTCCCATCACTGTCTTGATTGGCAGGTAACAAGTACTGGGCTGTGCAGGGGCAAGATATGCTACCAGGATACCCCAAGGACATTCACAGCTCCTTCGGCTTCCCTCGAAGTGTGACGCATATTGACGCAGCTGTTTCTGAGGAGCAAACTGGAAAAACATACTTCTTTGTTGCTAACAAGTACTGGAGGTAATGACCGAAAGCTGAGAATATTAGGGCACCAGTCCTTTCTACACAGAAAGGCTTTCACTCAACAAATTTCAAAATGAGTCTTAAATTGCCTAAATCAACTGTCTTCTCTGTAAATGGCTGTCTCCAACCTATCATTCATTTACTCTGTTGACGAACATCCATCCCAGGACACTTGTGCTGTGCCTTAACCAACCTCGCATTTTATAATCTCTAGAAATAAATGTTGTTCATTTCAGCTGCTGCTGAATACCTTTTAATGATTTGAGAATGTGTCTTTAATAACAAGTTCTGATGTTTCTAATCCTATTTTTGCCCAGGTATGATGAATACAAACGATCAATGGATGCAGGTTATCCAAAAAGAATAGCAGATGACTTTCCTGGAATTGGAAACAAGGTTGATGCTGTTTTCGAGAAAGATGGTAAGTGAACATGGAAGTACTTTCTACTGTTTTTTTTTTTTTTGCACTAGTAATGGCATAAATATTGATATTAGGGGAAGTAAGTATCAAAAATATTTGTGTTCATAAATGAGTTTCTTTTTTTAAGAATTCAAGTTAATCCTATAAGCTACTTACGTGTATCTTTTTCCCCCCAGGCTTTTTCTATTTCTTTCACGGAACAAGACAATACAAATTCGATCCTAAAACACAGAGAATTTTGACTCTCCAGAAAGCTAATAGCTGGTTCAACTGCAGGAAAAAATGACCATTACATAGCTGAATGAAACAATGTATTTTGTGAGCCTCATGTATTTTATAACTGCAACGCATATTGTGAGCCTGATGTATTTTGTATTTTTCTGACGTCATATATTTTTCAGTATTAAGTTTCTAGAATCACTCAGAACTATTAAGTATGTTATTTATATTTCACTCCTCGTTTTTTTTTACTAGAATATAATATTTTATTTACTGGTACACTTTAGTTTTATTACAAGTAAAGGCTAAGGACAGCCAAGTTCATGCCTTATAGATTCACATGGGCCAGAGTTGCAAAGAAAATCTGTTTGGAAGCAGCCTTTGTGAAGAATATCTCTTCCCAAGAGAGAGGGAGACAAGAGCCACAAATCTTCCCAGGAGGAAATGCAGCTCAAGAACTCAGGCGTAGTCACGAGCATCACCCTGATACTCAAGGGCCAAGTCTTCCATACAAAATAAAGTATCGGATGTTTGGAACAAAACTGTCTTTGGATGTATTCTTTTATTTTTAATTTTATTTTTTATTATTATCATTTATGATACAATTCCATAGACTCTGGGATTTCCCTTATCCCCTCCCCAAATTGTTTCCTTCATGTATCTGAGGTAAATGGGGATATTGAGGGAGAAGCCCCACCCAGTTTCCCAGCCACCCCAGGTCCCAGATGTGGGGCATGCTCCAAGGGTCTTGCTCAAGTGGTTTTGATAGTTCACCAGTTAAGAATCACTGCCGGGCCCGGCGCGGTGGCGCAAGTGGTTAAAGGTCCTCGCCTTGCACGCCCGGGATCCCATATGGGCGCCGGTTCTAATCCCGGCAGCCCCGCTTCCCTTCCAGCTCCCTGCCTGTGGCCTGGGAAAGCAGTCGAGGACAGCCCAAAGCTTTGGGAACCTGCACCCGCGTGGGAGACCCGGAAGAGGCTCCTGGCTTCGGATCGGCATAGTATCGGCCCGTTGCGCTCACTTGGGGAGTGAATCATCGGACGGAAGATCTTCCTCTCTGTCTCTCCTCTCTCTGTATATCCGCCTTTCCAATGAAAAAATAATAAAAAATAAATCTTAAAAAAAAAAAAAAAGAATCACTGCCAATCTCGCCTCTCCAAACACGATGAGGTCGTTGAAGAATCCACTGATTGACATTGTTCATCATAGCTTCTCTATGTGCCCGGTATTTTGTTGCCAACATACAGCTGAGGTGGTTGATTAATTTGTTTCATCTTCTGTCCTTTCATACTTAGGGTTCTGAGTCCGGCATTTTGATTGGGGAGATCCCCAAAGAAACTTCGTCTGAGGTGTTCCCAGGCCAGATTCTTGTATGCACCAGCAAGTACAGAGCCCAGCACAGTCCATTGCCCCAGTCAGCTGGTAGTTGCAATTGCTGGGTTGGTTCTGTTTTCAGCCCGCCTTCCACTGGAACCAATGGGTGTTGCAGTCCAGACTGGTTCTGCCCAGCACATACTCAGCCCTCACATAAACCAGTGGGAGCTACAGCCTAGGGACAGCGGCCCACAATAACCCCCACCAGGCCCAGCCCCTACCCTGGTTTGCCAGTATATGTAGCAGACCAGTCCAGACTGTCCCACATCCCCTTTGGCTCTCGTACATGGCAATTGGCATTGAAGCTTAGATCCATCTAACCAGCTCAACAATCAAGCCCTCACAGGTGTTGTTGAGTGCCTCTCTGTCTAGCCACCCTAGCCCCTGTCCTAGTTTTCATGCCCTCCCGTGGTAGTGGTTACCCAGGAGCGGGGAACCCACTATTTCCCTCGCAGGTCTCTCACTCCCGGACTGTGCACTTTCCAGGTGGTTCTGTAGTTTAACTTGTCAGAATTAGCCCCCAGTGCCAGCTTCTGCCAGCTGATGCTGCAGCTAAGCCCAAACAACCCTCGCCCACTCCAGTTTTGTTTTCACCAGTAGGAATAATCAGCCCAGCCTGGCTTTTCCTTAATCTAGTCCACATGAGGCACACAGATGTTGTAACCCTGCTTAGTCCGGTCTGCACTAATCCCAGCTCATGCTCTCCAGTGGGAGTAGCTGTCCAACAGGGGAACCACCCATTATTCCCCTGCTGGCCCTGCCCCCTCTCTTCCTGGTTCTCACATGTGCTGGATGGGCACTGCAGTCATATCCAGTACAGACAACCTCATCCTGGCATTCTGTATTGTGGACTGGTTTTTATTGCGACCGAACCTGGCTCGACCCACACTCTGTTCCGGTGCTCGGATTTGCCAGTGATGATGTGAGCTAATTCAGCCTGGTCTGCCCCCAATCCATGCCTAATGTATGCCAGTGGGAAACTTCTTGTGGCCTACTTTGGGCTGTTTCCATTCATGCTTCTTGCACTTACCCGCAGAATCTGTGTCCTGCCAGAGGAGTTGCCCAGGCTCCTCCATCAGAACCTCTCCCAATGCCAGATTTCGCGCATACCAGGGGGTCCATGAGCCAGCCCTACTCAGTTCACCTCCTGTCCTAGCAGGAACAGTGGCTTTTCCTGACTGGCCTTTGACCCAAGCTTGTTCTTGTTGGATGTTTAAGCCCAGCCACAACTCGTCCATACCTATGTAAGGCTCGCACATGGTTCAGTAGGGGTTGAGACCTTGCCTAGTCTGTCCCACATCTATCCTGGTCCTCCATGACACCAGACAGTGTTGGGTCTGGCCCAGCCTAGTGCATCCAGTCCCAGTCCACACTTGTGCCAGGGGAGACTGCACTGTATCCTGATCAGAATGCAGCCCCCATTCCAGCCCATGCGCTCCTTGGCCGTAGCCTTAATCCAGTTAGGGTGTCCCCTTAGCTCCCCAACCGGGCCTGTTCCCAACCATCGATCACGTGCATGCCAGTGGTTGCTCTGACTCAGCCCCTCACTTGTACTGGCCTCTGCCTTGGACACTGTGGCTTAGCATTCCTGACTTACGCAGACCAGTAAGTGTAAGAGCCTGGCTCGGCATGACCTGTGCTCCATTCTGGTTTCCAGTTTCACTAGTGGGCTAAGGCTTGCTCAATCCTGCCCGGTTCGTTGATTTAGTCTTCTGTTGTCATTTTATTGGGATGTTCTTCCCATTTGCCTTTGGTTTTGGTTGGTGCTATTCCTTTTCTCTGTCAAGAGTATCATTTGTAGGGCAGGTTTGGAAGAGGCAAATTCTTTTAACTTTTCTTTACTATGGAAGAATTTTATTTAATTTTTAAAGACAAAGGAAAGCTTTGCTGGATATGTTACTCTGGTTTGTCAATTTTTCTCTTTTAGAATCTGGAATATGTTGCTCCATTCCCTTCTGGCCTGTAGAGTTTCCTGTGAGAGATCTCCTGTGACTTAATTGGTCTTTCTTTATATGTCAGTTGATTTTTTTTTTACGTGCACATTTAAGGATCTTTTCCTTATGTTCAATTTGAAGAGAGCTTGATTACCATGTGTCATGGTGAAGATCACTTTTGGTCAAGCCTGTTGGGAGTTCTGTGCACCTCCTGGATCTTGTTTCCCAGTTCTTTCTCTAGAATAAGGAATTTTTCCCTCATTATTTCACTAAATACATTTTTAAACTCAGATTCTCTTTCTGCACCTTTCGGGACTCTCATATTTAGCCTTTTAATAGTGTCTTTCAGTTCTTGAATACTTTTTTTGGCCTGATCCAGCTCTGCTTCCAGCTTTTTGTTTGTTTCACCCTGATGACAGGAAATGTTTTCCAATTCTAAGATTCTTTCTTCTGCTTGTTTCATTCTATTTTGGAGACTCTCCACTGTACTTTTAGTTTGCTCCACTGTATTTTTCATTTCTGATATATCAGCTTCCATTTGACTCATTTCCAGTGTGACATATTCCTTAAATTCCTTGAATGCATGCTTTACGTGCTTCTCATTGCTGATAAGAAGTTTTATAACAAGTGTTTTAAATTCTGTGTCCCTCATTTTCTTGATGTCTTCCTCAGTGAACTGTGATGTTGGTAAAGGGTTTTGCTCCTTTGCAGGAGAGTCTTCAGTAATATTCATTGTGCCTTTGTCTCTTCTTTTGCTCTTGGTCGTTGTACTTCTGGTTAGCATAATCTTCTCCTTGGGGTAGGTTTCTAACCTCTGTCACCCACAGATCCACAGTTTGATTTGACTTATTGCAGTTGGTACATGACTCTTTGTTTGCAGTCACTTGTGCCAATCCCTCCAGTGAATTCCACGTCTGGGTTCTTATGTTAGATTTCCACCATGGTCTCCATAACCCCAGCTCCTGGCTTACCACTCTCCACCTCCTGTGATACCACACTGAAGCTACACTGTTATCTGTACAACTTTTCTCCCAGTTAGAGCAGGTCCCAGGATTAGGGAGACACCAGGTGTCCTATATAGCTAGGTTGTTGGTGATGGTGATCTTGCCAGAACTTATTGGCTGTTAGGTCTGAGAGCCACACGGGCCTATTTTGACCTGTACAATGCCATAGTTTGTATTATTTTCCTGTGGGACCAGTGCAAAGCACTGAGCTCAGCAAGTTCTTGCAGCGCTCAGCACATGTACAGCTCACTGTTGTCCCTGCATTCTTAAATTCTTTGCCACATCCTAAGAAATGACACCTGATATACCGTTACTAGAGTTCTTGATCTGCTGGCCATCAGGTCTGAGGGCTACCTAGAGCTATCTTGGGTGGAACCTGTAGGATGCCATTCTGTTGCAGTTCGCTGAGCCAGGACCCATTTACTGTTCTGTCCTCTCCTATTTCCTGGAATGTGCCCTCTCTGCTTCACACTGGCTAATATTTCTCCATCTGTTTAATTGTGTCCTTACCCTATTCCACTATCTTGATTCCTGGATGTATTATTTTGAAACTTTCTATTATAGTAATTATAATGTCCTAAATATGAACCCACATTAGCAAAATTTAACTTTCAAATTTAAAATGAAAAGCAAATAATATTCAAAATATTGATGTGAAACTTGGGATACACAGCAAGTTGAAATATTTTGTTTCTGAAGAATTGATGTCATAAAAAAGAAAAAAATCCATTTCTCCTGTTCCATATGAAGTTTCTAAAAGAGGTGTTAGGTAAAACCAGTGGTGTTATAGCAGTGCT